AGCATCGCAATCATCATCAGCATCAGCATCAGCATCAGCATCACCAGCATCAGGAACTGCAGCAACACCATGAGCCTAATAAACACACACACACACACATCGTCGTCATCCTCCTCAACAACAATATCATCACGATCGCCCTCGTCGACATCATTTACACACACATCGACATCAACAGCAGTTACATCCGCTTGATCACCAGCCTCATCATCACAATCATCATCACCATCATCATCATCATCATCATCATCATCATCATCATCATCGTCGTCGTTGCCCTTGGCATGGGAGGGGTACCAACCATCGCAAACTCGCTTCAAATTTGCCTGGTGGGCGCTGCTGGGCACCCCACGGCAGGCTTCGGTACCGAGCAGTCCCTTCTGCGGCCCTGGGGGAAACAAAAGGTACCGATGAAACTACTCCCCGGACCTTTCCCGGGGTAACTTCCGACCAGGATTTCGAGGCAAATCCAAGGTGGCCGCTCAATTTGGAAAAAAAAGAATGCTGGCTGAAGTTGACGGCCCCGTATTCCTGATTCCGGAAGGGCCCTGCCGACTCCGCGGAAAGCATGGGTGAGGGAGGAGGTGGGGGAGGTAGGGCCACGGGAGAGGAGATGGGGAGGAAGTGAGAGGAGGTGGAGGGAGTGAGCATGAACTCGTCGCCATCTTCTCTGCGCATCAGCGGAGAGTTCGCGGTGGTTCGGTGTGTTGGTGGATGGTGTTAGTTGGTTTGGTGTTTGGTGGTTTGTCCATCCACCCGACGACGGCCGAAGTCTCGCAGAGACCTCGCAAAGCTCGCCGAAGCCTCGCAGAGGCCTCTCGGAGCTCGCAGAGCTCTCAGAAGACTCTCTGAACGCGCAGAAGCCTCGCAGAAGCCTCTCAGAGCTCGCAGCAGAAGCCTCACAGAGGCCTCTCAGAGCTCGCAAAAAAAATCGCAGAGCTCGCGGAAGCCTCGCAGAGGACTCTCAGAGCTCGCAAGAGCCTCGCAGAGGCCTCGAAGAGCTCGCAAAAACCTGGCAGAAGCCTCTCAAAGCACGCAGAAGCCTCGCGGAGGCGTCTCGGAGCTCGTAAAAAATATCGCAAAGCTCGTGGAAGCCTCGCAGAGGCCTCTCAGAGCTCGCACAATTTGCAGAAGCCCCGTATAGGCCTCCAAGAGCTCGCATAAGCCTGGCAGAAGCTCCTCAAATCTCGAAGAAGCCTCGCAGATGCCCCTCAGAGCTCGCGGAAGCCTCGCAGAGGCTCCTCAGATCTCGAAGAGCTGAAGAAAAAATGAAAACCTCTGAAGAAGAGAGAAATACTTCTGAAGAAGAAATATACTTATGAAGAAGAAAGACATACTGCTGAACAAGAAAGAAATACACTCCTGAAGAAGGAAGACAGATTCCTGAAGAAAACATGAATACGTCTGAAGACGGACTTCTGACCAATGAAATTACTTCAGAAGAAGAAAAATACTTCTGAAGACGAAAAAAGTAGTTTCAAAAACAAAAGAAAACCTTCCCAATACAACAGGCACCCTCCCAATGCAAAAGGCACTCTCGGGGAGACCCTTCCGAATACCAAAGGCACTCTCGGGGAGAAGGGGGGTATGCCCGAGCACCAGAAATCGTAATTTTCCAAATGTCCGATTCCGAAAACCCTGTACCCAAAAATGTGTTTATCTCTTGGTGGCGCACTTTTTACTTCCACAGCCTTTCGCCCAGCCTCCGCCGGAGGAGACGGCCTCGTTTTGTTTCCGCAGGCCTTCTGCCGACCTTCCGCCGCGGAAGAGATGGCAACTCCTTTCGACCTTCGAATGCAAGGCCATGTTTGGACGCCACAACTGAAATCTCGTATGAGGAGGGCCTTTTTCTCGCGGCTGGGCCACCCTGGTCAGCGTCGGGGGCGCCCAGATGGATTTTCGCCCTGGAACGATTCTGGGGTGAAACTCCATCTGGGACCCCCCCAGTTCAAACAAGCGTTTTCGGGGAGAAGGGTAGGGGTGTGCCCGCAATCTCAGAGTCGCAATATGACAAACGAGATCTCTTCTTGGGGGGCCTTTTTCTCGCGGCTGGGCCCCCTCGCCCAGTCTCGGGAGCGCCCTAGATGGAATTTTACCCCAGAACCGTTGCCGGGTGAAAATCCATCTGGGACCCCCTCCAACGCAAAACAAACCAACGCTCACGGGACCGCGGAAAAACGAAAACGACGCGAAAACCAGAAAACGAAACAAACCAATCGGCTCAAAACAATCAAATCAGACGGCGAAAACCCCAAACAAGCAGAACACCAGAAAACAGGACACAAACACACACACACACACTCGCACTCACACACGCACCACCACCACCACCACCACCACCACCAACAACAACAACAACAACAACACCAACACCAACAACAACAACAACCACAACCACAACCACAACACCACAACTAACAACAGCAACAACAACAACAACAACAATAACAACAGCAACAACAACACCAGCAACAACAACAACAACAACAACACCACCATC